TCTTTTGGCTCTACAACACCGCGCAGGAGTCAAGTCATACTTTCATATATCTTCGCCTCGTCCGGGTGTATGTAGGCGTTCGCGCCGAAGACAACCATCTTGTGGACGTCGTCGGGATACGCCGAGGCAAGTAGAAGCGACGTGATGCCGCCGTCGCTCCAGCCGATCAATGAGAATTTCGAGTAGCCGAGAGTCCTCATCAGATTGCGGGCGTACGCGGCGTCGCGCTGAAAGAAATCGTCCGGGAACGTCCTGTCGGGTGGCCGCGATTTACCATAACCGGGTGGATCCCACGCCACTATGGTCAGCTTGTCCGCATTCAGATTCTCCATCTGCGGCCGAAAATCGGTCCATATTGTCCCTGAAACATCCCATTTTACTGAACGATATCAATTGCCATTCTTCGCGGTAAACATAAATGTTTGACAGCACGCTAGGAATTTGTCAGTAAATTCGAGTAGAATATTGATCGGCAGATAGGTGAATTGCGTCTGCATATATAGGCTTGTGTTCTGCCAGCATAGCTTTCGGACATCTAGAATTTTTTTTTCAAGTGAAAATAGTATCTATATTAATTACGCTAATAATAATTATCTTTAATATTTATATTAATTTAATCAAAATTTTACTAAATTAACATAAACGTTATTTTTGCTGGGAAAAGAAAATTTCAGATGTCATAAAACCTATTAAAAACAAATTTTGCTTAATGCAATTTATCAAATGTAAATTGTAGTTTCATTAGAATCGTTACAAATTAATGAATAATTGAATATTAACAACAAAAAAAAGGTAATTACATTGCAACAAAGAACGGTAAAAGTGGCGATTACAATTATCTAATGGTAGAAATTTATATTAAAAAATTCGATATTTTTTAAATCATCAAAATTATAACGAGATGGAAGCAATCTTGCTTTTCATCGATCAGTATAAACACCATATCCAGAGTTCGGTTGCGGTCCGGTAGATGGCAGCAAATGCCGATAAAGCGCAAAACTATTATCTACACCTTAATTTCAATAAAAACACATTGCATAATATTTACCCAAGGCCCCAGGCAGCAGCAACACTGGATGGTCACCTGTGCCGACCCTGGCATAATTAATTTCCGTGTCGTCCACTTTGATCTTCCGTTCCTGTCAACAGGAATGTATTCTGTTTAACGGGAAAAGCGAGAGATGGTCCATGAAAATAACAGATCGACATGAAAAACGAGCAAGTGGTGACGTACTTCTACAGTGGTCTACATTTCCATTTTTTTACATTGTTTACATCTTGTTATACTCACCTCCATTTCACGGGCTCTACTCACTGTAGTTGATAATTGCCGAGTCCACGCGGCACGACTGCCGCCAGACTTTACGATTTTACATAACGCACTCGTAAAACGAGTATACATCTTGCGTGTGTCGAATATGTTATGTTTACGACCGACTGAAACCTGCGACTGGATCGTGGCGTATACTGTACATACAGCAGCGCGCATCGGTATCGTTACATCAGTTCTTCAATGTAAAATTGCGCACGATGTGTTTTTTACGATAATACATACTGATAATATAATGTAGTGATACGTATGTATCACTGGGTATCGCGCGTTCGCGAGGTTACGAACAAGCTTATTTTTTAATTTTTTTTTCAGTTTATGACCGCTGTGAATGTTAAACTCCATCAATATTACCGTAAATCCAATTAAGAAATCAATTATTTTTTTATATTTATCTCTCTAGCTCGCATTTATCTCTCTTAATTGCTTATATATATTTATCTGGATCATGATCCAAAATCAGTCTGGGTAATCTTCAAAGTTCAAAGAACATGTATATTATTATCTGTTTACATTACTGCAATATTTATTGATTAGAGAATACTTAATTATTACTACTTATATATACAAGCATAAGATAATCTGTATCTAATATATGTATGTAAATATATATGTACATATATAGATAAATGATAAAATTTTGATTTTTTTAAATTGAATACTTTAAATTATAATATATTACATTTTAATATATTTTAATATATATTTCATTTTAATTTTAGTATTTCCTAATTTTGTCGATTTTTAAAATTGTAGCTTTTTGCATTTTAAAATCTGAACTAAAAATTTTAAAAATGTTCAGAACCGCAAATGTCCGAAATTTCGAAAAAGTTTTAATTTAAAATAGAATGCATCTATTTATTATCCTGATGTACATTTCTATTTTCAGATTCTAAATTTTCGCGATTTCTAATTTTCGAATCACAATTCTTTGAATTTTAGATAGTGCAATCTCTTCATTTATTATGTTCTGGTATTTTATCGATTTTTATAAATTTATTATTTTTTTGTTGATTATTTTACAAAATTGAAATTTTAGAAATTGCGAGTTTTATTAATTTTTATTAGTGTGTTGTATAGAAATGAATTTAAAAAGAATATTTACAAGAATAATTCATTAAATGTACGTTTTACATTGTAATCAAAAAATTAGAAAATATATATATTATTATACGGTTATCTATCAATAATAATATAAAATTTTCAACAAATAAATATCAAATTGTCACGTTATCTAAATATATTTTAATTTATCATTTTCAATACTGTAATATATCGTAATATAAACATTCACACTAAATGATCAATATATGATAAACGTGACGTTGTCAGTCCTGACAATTTTTCAACTGCGTTTATATGGCAGTGCTTATTGTGAAAGATAGACAGGTAGATAATTCTCGTCAGTGCTTGATAGCTATGCTAAGAAGCCAACTGTCGATAGGTACATTATTACTACAGTTCTTGCAGTCTAGCCGCTAGCCAATTTAGCGAGCCAATGCGCGAGATGTAATTTGAAAATGGACACGCTTCAAAAGGACGTATGCATGTACTCCATATCGGCTAGAATGTATAAATAATTTATTTATGGACATAATGTAAGGGATACTGTCGACAGCGATAGGTAACGTAAATCAAAGACTCTGAATATGACATAACGGTAAAGCGTATTACGACATGTATTATTATAGCATTGAGTTATTATAATGATGACGAGATCAAGAAATTTAGTATTCCTCCTCTTCCTCGTTAACGGCATCTTCCTGCACCTCGCGATAATCGAGCTCCAAGGCGGCCAGATCTTCCCGGGCTTCCGAGAATTCACCCTCTTCCATGCCTTCCCCGACGAACCTGTAAAATTCAATACATTGCATTCGCATCTCATAATCAGTGAAGTTACATGTTTGAATGCAAACAAATTGCATCCTAGCATTTCTCATTGCAATTATTTGGAAAACGGACTTTTATACATTTATTTTCTTACATTCGAAACAGAGACAGAAATACTCGCTTTATACAAAAATTAGGACGTTATACGAAATGCATTGAAGAAAATTTAAGCAGAGAGAAAGGGGGGGGGGAGGGATACGCGCCTTCAAGGCGATTTTGATCAAATACTTTGATGAAATAGAACTATTCCTCTAATTAAATCTAAAAGTATAATTCACTCAGCGTAGAAGTAAGCTTCTAACAGTTTTGCAAAATAAATCTTTTGCTGAATACGGCCAGTGAATTGCACAGCTGCAAATTTTGCTAGAAACAATTCTATTCCGATTATCAAATCCGATTGATTCAATTGATAGAATTATTTCTAGCAGAATTTGCAACTATGCATTTTACTAGCTGTATTCAGCGAAAGGTTTATTTTACAAAACTGTTGGAAGTTTTTTCGCGTTGAGTGAATTATACCTTTTAGATTTATTGTTAGAGGAATAGTTCTATTTCAGCATAGAGAACAGCAGTTGCGAAATAAACGTTCTGCTGATAAAATAAACGTGGCTATTGTTCCTTCAATCCAATCTTTCTGCGTGTTAGGCAACAAACGATTTTATCCACGTTATCCACATTAAATAGTGAACTTGTATATTACTTGATAAGTTAATTGTCATCAAGTTTGATCGAAGTCACCCGCCGTGGTAATTCGTCTTACAATTAGACGGGAGACTCTTTGGCAATCGGTCTATACAGGCACGATAACTGCTGGATGGCAAGCGGTATTATTTATTACAGAAACTTCTTACCAATGCACGAAAGCTCGCTTGGCGTACATGAGATCGAATTTATGATCGAGCCGGGCCCACGCGTCTACGATCGCCGTCGTGTTGCAGAGACAGCACACCGCTCTCTCCACCCGCGCGAGATCTCCGCCCGGTACAACGGTGGGCGGCTGATAATTGATTCCCACCTGTTAACGTGTTTGCAACGATACTTGATTGCGATCGACTTAGAAGACTTGAAAAGATAAATCGCGAGAGTAGTTAAACACATTCGTTCTACATAAAAACAAATTCTGAATTTTTAAAATATATTTTACTGTCGTTGAAATTATTTCTTTCCCGATTAGATTTCTTTCCTGATTTCTTCTTACGTTAATTCGTTAATTGACTTCTAATTTCTACTCTGTTCTAAAAGTATTCTTCGATCATTTTACAGTCGCACCTTAAATCCCGTCGGGCACCATTCGACGAACTGCACGTGCTTTTGTGCTTTTATCATCGCGATCGCCGCGTTCACGTCCTTGGGCACCACGTCGCCTCTGTACAGCAAACATACCGCCATGTACTTCCCCATGCGCTGATCGCAATTCACCATTTGGTGATTCGGTTCGAAGCAGGAATTCGTTATCTCCGAGACGCTCACTCTCTCGTGCCCGGCTTTCTCCGCCGACAGAACAGGAGCATACGTGGCCTGCGTGATAATAGAAACACGTAATAATTAATAAGTAATTAAGATTATCGATCAGACGATCGTCTTTTTGATTTCTGTACGTTATAAATTTTGTAAATTATTAAATTTGTAAATTTTCGTAAACGGGCGCTTACGAGCGGAAAGTGGATACGTGGATAAGGCACTAAATTCGTCTGGAATTCGGTGAGATCGACATTCAGGGCTCCGTCGAATCGCAAACTGGCGGTGATGGATGACACTATTTGTCCAATCAGTCGATTCAGATTCGTATAGGTAGGTCGATCGATGTTTAAGTTCCTTCTGCATAGCTCATAAATGGCCTATGGATAACACGCGATTGTAGTGACAGACGTCGCTATTATACCGCTCCGTGTAGAGGCAGGCATATATATAGACGACACTGTCCTAATAAACTTTATTTTAGACATGTGAAATGTTTGGTAGAAAACACGCAAGCTCTTTTTGCTAAGATAGAATTTTCTAAGAGTAATTGCCGTTATCGTGCAATCGATTTGTCAATAACCGCGAGTTGGTGGAAGCGTTTGCGGGATTCGGGCGATGTAAATTTTATATATGTGATATTTAACATGTCGATTTTATACTCGTGCAAAAGTCATGCGGTACCTGATTATCTACAATGAAAGCCACTTCGCTATGCTCTAACGTCGGATGAGTGTACAGAATTGCGTTGTAAGGCTCCACTACCGCAGTCGATACCTATGAAAAATGTAAGTGCTTTCGTAAATGAAGGGGATAATTAGATAATTAAACAAGTCAGTTAAGTAGTTTAGAAAAGTTGGGAAAGTAGATGTTCCATTAAACAGCATCAAGAAAACGCAAATAGATATGTATAATATACCTAAACAGATTATATTATATCATTTGAATTTTTCGTCAAAGAGAAAATTAAAATTCTTTAACAAAAAAATTTGAAAAATATTCTTACGAGAAATACAACATTACCTGTGGCGCTGGATAAATGCTAAAGGTCAGTTTACTTCTCTTCGGATAGTCGGCAGACAGCTGTTCCATAAGCAGACTCGAAAATCCGGATCCCGTGCCGCCGCCAAATGAATGGAAGATTAAAAAGCCCTGTAAGCCCTTGCACTGCTCCGTCAGTCTGCGTATTCTGTCCAAAGTGAGATCTATGATCTCTTTTCCTGAAAAATCGCAAGACTGTCATTATAATTTAAAATTGTCATTTTTTTACATAAAATTTAATGTATATTAAAAGGATTAGATCGCAATTTTTATCGCGCAGAAACCATAATCTTTCTTTAGATGATTTATCTCTTTGGTCGATACAGTCGACTATAATTAAAACTCCACCTTATTGTAGATAATGGAAAATTAATTAAAATTCATAATTACCTATTGTATAATGACCTCTGGCATAATTATTAGCCGCATCCTCCTTCCCGGTAATCATCTGTTCCGGATGGAATAATTGCCTGTAAGTGCCCGTACGCACCTCGTCTAAAGTATTAAAAAATTATAAGAAACTCATTATATTATTTTAAATTTATTAATCTTTTTAATGTACAATGCGCGTATTAAAAAAAAAATTCACAAAAATTAAACGATCTAATTTAGAATTTTATCAGGATTAATCATTGAATTTCCCCCCAAAAAATAAAAGATTCAGCAGTCTAAAATTATAAAAATTTATATTTCACAACATTCAATCTCTAATCATGAATTTTTACATGTTCCAAGTAGTATAATGTCCGGAAATCGATAATTATTCTCCAGCACACTTGCCTACTACCGTTGGCTCGAGATCGACCAAAACCGCTCGCGGGACATGCTTCCCCGAACCCGTTTCGGAAAAGAACGCATTAAAGGAATCATCACCGGAGCCCACGGTAACATCGCTGGGCATCTGCCCGTCTGGATGTATCCCGTGCTCCAGACAGTAAAGCTCCCAGCAAGCATTTCCCATTTGCACGCCCGCTTGCCCTATGTGAATGGATATGCATTCCCGCTGCGAACAAACGGGTAAATATTTCAGTATCCCCTTATGTTTCGTAATAAATATACACACGCAATGAAATATAAGTATATAATTCGATCAAAGTCGAGAAATTATTTAGAAAAATAATTTTTTCCCTTCTTGATCTGAGATCCTTTACCTTTATTATTGATTAAAATAAATTCTTTTTTGTTTTCTTCTCTTTCTCAAATATACTTTATACATATGTATATAATAATATACATGTGTATAAAGAAATAATAGTAAAAAATGATCCGGGTAATCGAGAGTCTAGCTTTCCATTATTTGTCGCAAATAAATTTGAAGTATCGATATTCTTAATGTTGTTACAGGCATAAAGACAAAGCTATTCCATTACGTCATACGTAAATGGTCGTGTTCGACTATATCACACTACATTTAGCTATTATTACCACCTTGGATATCATTAAAAAATTTATGACAGCGGTATGGCTTTATAAAGGCAATATAACGTGAGCAGATCGTTAAATGTTAAATATCATTAAAATCATTAATACCAACGCTTGTATTTTATTGTATTAGTTACCTTTTTTGCCATTCTTAAAAAGACTTCGTTTCTGCGTTAACTAGATGAAAATACAGAATGATCGCAAGATGATACACTCTCACAAAAAATGTTTATCGTATATATAAAAGCACACAACAATATTAAGACACAAAAATTTATATTGATTGATTTTATTAACTGTTTTGTTGCACCAGACACTCACTCAACGTAATTGAATCTCCCATGATTAATTTTATTAAAGTTTATAAATATGATAATATCAATTCACTTAAAAAATTTCTGTTATAGAAATACAACAGATTTTAGCTATTTTGAGAAAAATACACTGAGAAAATCGTTTTGGCTTTACCAATAAGGAGTACAAAACTAGTAATCATAACAATCGGAATTCTTTTTATCGTAATTAAATTTCAAATTACCTTGACTAGAATGTTTCATAGATTTAATTATAAATGTATCTGAATTATACCTTTTGTTGAGTTTATCAAAATTTTAAACAGTGCAATCTTTTTCTAGTGTAAATATTTCGAAAAGAATTTATATTCTAAAATAACAAATTTTTTCGAAATTAACTTAAAATCACCTTAGATTTTGAGTGAGAATTCCGTTTTATCTGTATTTCTTCTATCCATTTATTTTAATTCCTACGTTCAAAAATCAAAAATTAAAATAATGAAATTTTTCTTATGTAAATAATTATATCATTCCCACAGTGTTATCCCACAGTAGATGTCCATCAAAAATGTACAAGTTTCTGATTAATTAAACACACGGATTGTCGAGCGAGCTTAACAAGCCTTAACGAGGTTGACTGTGTAGGGAACGAGCTACGCTTAACAAGGGATGATTACCGGTGGCCCAGACATCGTCGACTAAAGCAATGTCGTTATCTGTCAACAAGGTCTGGTGGAAAAATGCTACCTTGACCTATAATGTGTCCCCCATGGATAATTCAGGTGTACCCTAAAAGTGAGCATCTATATTGGCATGCCTATAGCCGGCCTACTTCCTGACTTATACGGACGCACATGGGCGGCATGTCGTCTCTCGCGCGATGCGATATTACACGCTCTATATCTGCATGGTACGGTAAAAATCGATTTTTTACAGGTTGACATACTGTAACCATAGCAGCTTAATCGAATATCAAACTGCACACCCGCATATGATGATATGACACGATTGCACCGATTCGACCGAAGAGATTTTCCTGGTCTTACTGCAATTAGTGTGATATAAGAGCCAAATGTCGTTCGATTCGCAAAAGGGCGAACTCGCTTGGCCAAAATGTGATCCATCCCTTTTAAGAATATTCTCCCTTCGGAGAAAATATTTCGTACAAGCGTATCTAAATGCGCAAATATTTGGACAGTCTAAAAAATGTGGCTATAATAATACAGCTGTTAGAGAAAAGCGGCACAGCCGAATGAGCCGCATTCATACTCGTTATTTTAATTTCCATTTTGGTATTGAGCAACAAAATTGAAGGACTTGGAGAAGCGATTACAAGATTTAAGGGAGAAGTGGGATAATATTTTACTAATATAAAGCTGTCGATCGACATGCGTTCACGGCGTGGATCGATACTTCACAATTCAAGTTTCGCGTGTAGTTTTAAAATATATAGAGGAAGATAAAAGATGCATATCGTATATCGGTAAAATTCAATCTAAAGTTTCTTTAATATTCTAAAAATATACATATTAATAATTTTTTAAAAATTTATTTAGCTTTCTTTAGACTGCAAATAATAAGAAATCATAACAAAATTAAACCAAAAGATCCTGTTTAAAAAAACACTACTTTTAATATTTGCGTAAGATGTTACATTCAATAAAATAAAAATATATTTTATTAAACGTCATTTTCGAAGACCTTTTTCAATCGATCTTTTAATCATTTATTCTTTTTATTTTCGCGCTCATTTAATTTACTCAAATAAACTTTTAATTGATTTCAGAAGCTATAAGCGAACATTTTAAAGTAGTAGCATAATACGTGATATTTTCCGAGCTGTATACACTTCGTGCACCGTATGACGTGTATAGCATGCATATTGTAAGCTTACTAGGAACAGTGTTATTGTATAAAGATTTACACAGTTCTCGTTATTAGAATGTTTACATGTATGCGCTTGTGTAACGAATCAATAGAAAAATTACATTGATATCATCAGATCTCATACATTTTAATAATGATATATAAAGATAATATAAATAGCGATAATTAAAGAAAATCGCGATTACAAATACAGAATAGCGTTCGAAATGTTGAAAGTGTGCTTTCATTATATGTGATTCTTTTTTATATAAACGCACTTGCGTGTAGAAAAAATTCTACTTCAATTATTAATGTAGAAACTATAATAGGATGCAACAGGATGTAATTATATTTGTATTATCAGAGATAGTTCTTTATATCTTTAGAACAATTATTTTGGAAGTAATTTCCTTTATAAAATCAGTCTCTGCTCCACTTATAAAATTAAATTGGAAAACATGTTTTTTTTTATTATACAAAAAAAATATATATATACATCTTTCATGAAAAATATAAGTTAAAATATAGTTGAAAATATTTGGTATATTAACGAAAAAAACGCGATAGAGAAACAAAGCACTCACCATTTTTTCCAATTATTTTTATCCGATTATTTGATTGCACTTGATAGCAAGCAGCGTGTCGGACTGTGCCACGACTCGATCACTGTCTGACTTCGCGGATACTACGATCACTGTGCTTCACCATTTAATAGTAGCGCTATATACGGTATCTGTCTATGAACCGGAGTTCATAGGCGACGCGGATCAGCTTGTGCTATAGCCGCGATAGTTGCATATGCGGATGCGCATTTGCATATAAGGTGCATTATCCGTTCTAGACAGTTTTCTGGGGAGTAGTTCAAGGTACAGGAAATGTATCTCTTCACGCAAACTCCGTCCGAGATTGAGGTTGATAGCTTGTACTGGATTAAAACAGATTGTTTTTACGATCTTATAAATAATTTTAATTCGATAAACACAAATAATTTACAGGAGCAAAAATAGATTCTTATCTCCGATATGTTGGGCCATCAAGTGATAGCATTATTATTATTCGATGTAAAGTATCTAATTTTGAAGATAAAACCTTGTATAGGAATATATGTATTCTCTTCAATATTATGAATCGACATTTCTTAAAATATTCTTGAGTAATTGTTTTTACGCTCTAGCTGGTATTATAAATTATTGGTCGATATTCGTACCTCACTTTTATCGATAAATGCGCATTTAGCATACAATTTACGTTGCACAGATTCTTAGAAATAAATGAACATATTGATAAAAGTGAGGTAAAAATACAAACGTATGAAAGTAATTACATAGTTAAAACCTACTTAGCAAATCTTAGGCGGGCCTATTTTTTACATGTTATTGCTTCTTCCGTCCCTTTGGACTGGACAAAGTTATTAATTTAACTCTCCTAGGAGTTTTGTGACACGCAATAGGAGCAACGTCAGACTTCGGCGGGGTATTCCTTTTAGTCTTGACCGCGTCGCTACTGCTTTCTTCATTGTACACCAACTTGATATCTTCTGTTTCTTCTTCATTTAACTTCTTGTCGATCTGTAAATCATTTTCTGAGCTAATATTTTGACTACTCGCGACTTCGTCCGATTTCTGTTCATTAATCTTTTCAGCTCGATTATCTACCACCACGTTGCTTTTTACAAATTCAATGTCCATCGCACAATCGTCCACATCGAATGTTGAAATATCGCTTTTGTCTTTGATCGTATTGTTCGAAGATTTTTTGCCAGAACTTTTGGGTGTTCCCTTTACTGTTGCACTCTCTTGTACAGAGTCCCCTTTCATTTGATAAATTTTACCTAATTCACCGTCTTCAAAGTGTATTATGGAACAATAGCCATCGCTCGAAGACGCAATTAAAATCTGGCCATCGCTAGACCTGTAAGAAAGACATTAAGACTCTGACAGAAAAAGTTATTCGCGAATAACGAATAGGCAATATTGACAATCACGTACCACGAAAGATCATTCAGTCTGCCATAATGAATGAGCGATCCCAAGCCGATCGGAGAAGTCTGCTGCGTATCGTAGAGTAATATAGAACTTTGCGTCGCTACGGCAAATACCATTCTATAGGGCAACGGCACCAAACTAGTTGGACCATCCTCTCGCAGCTCAAAATACACAGGGCAACATCGTACCGCTATCGTACATTCGTTTAAAGTAGGCAGGATCATTATTGGTCTGAAAAAAAAAATCATCATTACCATTACCTTTTTGAACCACGTTAGGGACTTACAAATTATTAGATCTAATACTGACTCCCTTATATCCGCTCTAGAGAAAACAATTATCGCGTTTGATACAGTCTCTGTGGTCTCCTGCGACTCGATTATTCCGGACGGCACGAAAATTAGGGATCCGTCTATCGAGAAGGTCAGCCTGCGGAAGAAAGATTTGAACGTGTCGTCATAAAATAGACGCACGTGCTTCTCCTCCAACGAAACGGAGGACGGTGTTGGAATTTTGGATTTGTAAACGCGCTGAACGACCTTCTTCGTAGCGATGCTTATTAAACGACAGTGTCTGAAAATAATGAATTTGATTCGCAATTAAAATTCAGAAGGCGCTACATCGTTCGCATTATTTATAATTTACAGACTACACACCTGTCTGTGCTAATAGTGCAAACGTATTGATTGCAGGGATCCCAAGACACCCCTTGGACAAAACCTTTGTGGTCCTGTAATATCGCAGTTTTACGACCCTTCTGGACGTCCCACAGTATAGCGGTATTGTCGACAGAGCCGGAAATTAAGGAATTGGAATCCGGCGACCAGCTAATGTCGTAAATGTCTTCGATGTGACCTCTCAGCACTTTCCAGGAGGTCCACTGCTCTTTGTTCTCAGTATCGCCCGAGGGCGGAGAGAAGTCTCGTCCCTCCTTCACTCTCCACAAAATAATGACCGATTCTGCGTATTAAAATCAACTTTAATCCGAGTCTAATGAGGTGAAAATAATAAAGTAATAAAATAATATCAAGTGGCCTAACTAACCATCGTCTCCTGATGCCAGAATCTCCCTCGATGGGGAGAATCTTACGACATTTACTGCTCTCTGATGGCGTTCCAAGTCTGCCGCAAAGGTTACAATAGCTCCGCCAAACTCAGTTGTTGTCAAGTGCCAAATCTGCATTTGAACAATCATTTACAATTAGATTGCTAATTATCTTCGCATGTGTAATTATAATTAGATCAAGACATTCAAAAAAATCACTTCTCAGACATCTGATGACATTAATTGAATCGTGCACAAATCTTTCTGTTAGCATTACGTCCCATTATTATTTTTAAACTATTATAGATATTAATTATATACATAAATATAAAATTCTTAATTACAAAAAAAAATTACACATTTCTGTGTTGATTTACATACATTATTTTCTTTATACTTTGTGCACACATGAAGAAAATACCCGAATAAAAAACTGCTATTCTTTTTAGGCCACAAAGTAGATATAAATATAATAACGTTACCAGAACGTGGCAATCCGCTCCTCCAGTCGCTACTCTCCAAAACGTTCCTCCTGTCGAATTATCGTATGAACCGCTCTGTATATCGACGCTCAGCACCGGATCGCGATTATGCCATGAAATTTCGGGAGTGATGCACTTCATTTTCTCGCTTAGGATCGACTGGTATTCACAGGTGATAAATTTTTTTCCTGGAATGCCGCCTGATCGGACGATAGGACCGACGTACCTTCAGCCTCTGCCCGAATCTATATAGGATGCCTGAGAATTTATTCCGAATTCGATATAGATGCTCACAAAATAATCCTTTTTTTTTAAATAAAATTATAGATAATTTTAACCTTACCCTAACGCTCTCGCTTGATTGAGTCGAACGTGCTTTCGTTTCCGTCCAAGTGACATAAATAAGCACGAAGGAGACGATAGGAGACGGCGATGTCTCACGCTGATTGATGTACTGTGATGTACTTAACCTTCCAAACTGTCATGTCGTTCGCGCCAAAAGTTTGGCGGTGGTCAAGTTAGGTTAGGGAACCGGTTGCCATGTGATTAATGTTGCCATGGCAACCCCCCGGCCCCCGTTCGCGCGTCACAACAAAACCTCCAGAAGCACATGTAGTGTATTTACATTCCGCGATATTAATTGCACAAGCGGTAAATGAATTCCTTAAATACGAGGCGGTACACGGTAATTGTAATCCTGCAGTATGTCATTTTGCTCTTTGACGTTTGCGTGAATTCGTTTGCGAGCTTCGCCAGGCGTCATCCAACGGACCTGCTGGTACTCTATGTGTGCGTAATAATTTCTGACAATTCTCTCACACGTTTATCGTCGTGTTTGCATTTAATTTATATAACGATTTCAGAATTCAAGATTTCTGCCTCATTGTGGCCCTCACGTTGCTGCTAGTAAACTTTTTCTCCACTTACATCTTCCAGGTGAATGTATACCCGAAAACATATAGCTATATATATTTATTATTAAAAACAGATTTTGCAAGTCAAATTTAGCAAAAATACAATAATATAAAGGAATATTATAGAATATTAAACTATTTAGTGGTTATTGAATAGAATTTGCCCTTTCATAATTTAAATGGTATTGGCCATCTGCTGTGTCAGCAGATTTCGCTGGTGGAATGAATTTTATTTGTGTAATTAACATCAATCTGTTGCAATAATCTTTGTTCAAATTTGCTATAGCATACTGTTAATATTCTCTTCTTGGCTAACACAAGTTTTTTTTACGTCTGTCATATTCTGTACACTTGGCAGAGTTGTATGAAATAGACTTAATTTTCAGGCAGGTTTGATACAGTTGCTGTACACGAGATTCCGCATGACATTAGTATTATGCATCATATACATGATATTGTCAATCAGTTTGCATACGTGGCACATTACTATACACTGGTCAGCGCCATTGGAACATTACTGGACAAGAGGATTTCACACTCTTTATTCTGCACATAGAACAGGTACAATATCAAAGAACTGTGAAAACGTTATCTCGTTGATAAACAAATGATAATCCGGGATTTTTTTTTACGAGAAGTTGCAGTGCTGTATTATTATTTCTACAAAAGAGCCTCTCTGAGGATCGGCGATCCAAGATTTTACAAGGGTTCCGCTTGGGTACAGAAGCAGTTGAGTATTTCATGACTACGTGTGTAATTCAAATTCGAGACGAGACACAAAGGATAATTGTAATTCCGACAAAATACAAGGATACGCGCATCTGTCTGTGATTGAGATTTGAGAAATTTACACGGTATCTTAAGCTATTTACGCAATAACATACCTTTGTACAAGTTTTATATGATCGTATATGTGGATGAAACGACGAGATTGCTACATATTCATACATCTGAATTATATTAATTTCTAAATTCATATATTATACATTGTACAATTTATATACATTGTGTAAAAAACTTTTATTACAAAGTATCTTTATATATGTATGTATATACATATTTAGCCTTTGAGATCAAGAAATAGTTGATTTTATACATTATCGAAAAATATTTGTGCCACTGCATGCATTAATACATTAATGAAAAATAAATCATTACTGTCATGCTTTTACATTATCCTTTGTGTTATTTTAACTATCCTGGTGTTGTTTTACATTCGTAATTACTAATTCTGTAAAGTTCGAGTGATAATTGATGTCTTATCTATTTAATTATATACTAAAATTTGTGTTAATAAAATCGAAACAGTAATTAAAATTCGATAATATATAGAAGATAATATATTGTATTGTAACTTTTATCCGCTCATTGTTATGTGCCAATATTATATTTATATTAATACAAAAACGTAAAATTGAAATCAATATTGCATATAGCATTCCTTTTTTATATATACATTATTACAAATTTTTATATTATTTTGTCTGTTTTTCGATGTAATGAGTAACGATTCCAATTATACGTTTAATGTTTGTTGATAATAAATGTATATAGCAAGTGATTCGTTTATACATTTTAAACATATAATAATACCAAATATTTAGTACAATAAAATTATAGAATGCATGTCGAATCAATTTGCATCTAATGTGTTATTAATCATCTATATAATAATGCGTTTTTTATATATATACTATGGTAATACAGATAAAATACTCTATTAGATTTATATTAAAGAAAAATACATTAAATTCATCACACAATTCATGGTAGCATTACATTGAAACTTAAATTAAAACATAAGTTGTTATGTCATGTTCATTGGTTGTGATAACTAAATCTTCTATACACGATTTTTGACTAATTTTAGATTTGGTCTCAGAAATGTCCCCCAGTTTTAGCATTTATTTCACTATTTTATAAATCTAACATATTAAAATATATATAAAATAGAGCGATCACATCTTTATCGACAAATTTCGAGACATAATATTAATACTTTTTTTATTTTGCAAAGAGGGGATTAATTATATACACCTTCTTTTTAAGAATTCTTAGAATTGTATAAAAACAAGTTGTATACGTTTCTTCTACAAGAGATCATTTTTATATCGTCTTCTATTAATTATAAATTAAATTATGCAACAAAAATCGTAGTATTTTAATGTAACCTCGCATTTCATTATTTACTTGGTAGCGATCGATCGTTCTTATATCAAATCTTAGGAATGTTTGCATTCAATAAAAGTAAAAACAAAATTTGATATTTTTCAGCGCTTTAGACTGCATTACACAATACGTATACACTGCATACGGAATTAAAGAAAGTTACATAGAGTTCACACTTGTGTCACTCATATGTGTCAATTTGTACTTAAATTATTGCAAGTAAACTATATTTTTTGTAAAATTATCATCAACGAGGTATTTTTCAGGAGCAAGCTTATAGACATTCTATTCACATCTGCATAGTGTGATTACCATGTAAGAAAAGTAGTTTATCGATCAGAGAAGGTGGCAAAATCGCGCGCTTTGTATCATACTGAATCTGTACCTCCGGCGGAATGCGCGATGGTGGTGCACAGCAAGCGGGCACGCAATGATACCTGCTCACCAACTTCGCCAGATTCGGGCATTTCGCGGACACTTTCGACCACCATTGCAGGGGACAGCAATCGAGGGGTGCCGTAGGCTCCGACTGATACTGTACAACCTCGAGATCTGCTTTCTCCTCCGCGGACATGCCAGCCTTCGTGGTGCATAGACTACCAAGTAAGAACTCCATACCTATAAGAATCGATCCATTTCACGAATTGCCCATACAATTCGAGATACGTTACATGCAATTAAAAAAAAAATACCTGAGACTCTAGCTTTTTTACTTGGTATTTCCTCATTTTCAGCCTTTATCGTGATGTCCCCAGATTCCTCCTGAATCAATTTCGTTAGCATTTCCTTTATGGGAGTGCTAACTATATTTTTATCCTCCTCGGTGACATATGGCATTGCTTTAAATCTATATAATGGAAAGTAAAGGTAAAGGTTGAATATATGAAATAATAAATAGCAAGAAAATAAAAATCCCGAAGCGAGTTACTCCAATTGACACATGGCTCAATGTGAATACTGGGTCGATTCTAGATGCAATCCAGACTTCCATCTGTCTTTGTTTTATAAGAAATTCATTAAAGAATTGAAGAGTGAAAGAATATAAGATGAATAGTAACTCGTTTCAAGATTTTATATATATACAAACAAATATATATATAAATAAAAAATAATAAATTTATTGTTGCGAATGTATATTATATAATAATATTAATACATTCGCAACAATAAATTTATTATTTTTTATTTTTAATAAATTTAAAGAATTCCACGTTAATTTACCTAGGATCTAGAGTAGTTGCAATTTGTAGAAGTAACGTGACAGTGAAATCTGCATATTGCTCGTACAACTTGTCCGACAAGGACTCTTTAAAAGTCTTAGCAGTGTCACTGTCCGACTCCTTTACTTTAAGATGCGAAGATACCAGTTGCCAAAGTAATGGTTTCAACAAGGATATCAGAGGCATTTTTTCCTCGCTTAATGTCATGATGGTCACTTTGAACGGCGTGAGAACGTTCACGATATCCTCCATGATTTTCCACTGTTCGTTGGTGATTTCGAACATCGACTGATCTATCCCTTCTATGCCTTCTAATATAGATGGAATTATGTTGCGCCGCGCAATCATTTGCTCCAGCATTGTATAGGTCGATATCCATATAGCTGGATAATCCAGACATATGGTACTTTCTTCCTATAACAAGAACAATAACAATAATGCAAGAAATACTTACAAAATGCCATTTGTCGATTTTACACATGTTGATATTAAATTGTATTTATATGCATTACAAAATACAGCTTTAACCATAAGAATCCTCAATTTACTGCATTTTCATGGAAAAGAAAAGCCAAAGGACTAGCAAAATATTAAAATTGTTAAAAATAATTATTTTTAATGAAACTGTTTTCTAAAATATATTTCTCATTAGATATAAAACATTTGCATTAATTTACGAGGATGCTTTATATTTGGCCAAGGCTGTATTTTATGCCAAATAATTTATAGCATCACGAAGATACCTCTGATAGCTGTGCTTGCATATTCAACGTTTCGAGCGCGTTTGGATGGCTTATGATAGTTCCAATGACAGATCTGCATTTGGATAACGTTTGGGACACATCCGGATGCTTGAAGCAGTCCTGCGCGCATATTTGCAGAGTATGAAGCAAACACGGCACCACGGTGAAGCCACAGTTAGTTAGCGCCGCGATCAACTCAGGTCTTGACGTGCTGACAACCACCGCCGTTATCTTCTCTACTTCCAGATCCCACTCGAGTAGCATAGAGTCAATCCTACTTTTCCACTGGGGTTCGTCCCAATCCGACGGTGCGTGAAGAGTACTTAAAATCTTACATTCCAAAGTGGCGTGTCCAGTATTCTGATAATAAACCGACACCGTGATGAAATTCTCGCCGTTATTCGACCGCCACTCCTCGAGGGTCAACGCGAGCTCCGAGGCGACGCAGGACAGGGAGGACGCCACCGACTCCCGAAAATTATTATAGATTCTCGGTATTATTTCCTCCTCCAGCTTGTTCTTGCTGGGTATCTCGCAGGGCGAGCGTAGGGTCGCCACCAATCTTTGAAATCCACGTCCCTCCACAATCTCGGGCAATTCCAGATCTATTATCAGAAACTCCGCTATAGCGTCCGACACGGATTTCACGTCGACCGACTGACTGGTCATGTTGTCCTCCGACATGAGAAACGCCACGTTCTGGCTGTTACCATTAATAGCAGATCCACCCTTGATCATCACCCTAAGCGGTTGACCAATGGTTATGTCGTCCTCCATATTCGACAGACTTATGTTAGGATCTGTAACAAATTGTATATCGCCGTCAATCTGAACGGTACCGTCCGCGTTGGTGGTGTAGATATATTTTGTAGGGCTCACGCCCGCCTTGAGCAGCTTCTTCTGTATCTTCCGCTCCTTGGTGTCCTGCGGCATCACCTGCCGCGCGGACGACAGGCTGGACGACTCGAGCTCCATCAGCTCCTGGGCATGCTTGTTCTGCAGGTGCATGCGCAGATTGCTGGTGTTGCGATTGTACGCGATCTGCGTTTTGCACAGTATACAGACGATCTTCACCTTGGTGAGTATCTCGCCGTCGTCGGTGGCCGGGAAGCCGAAGAACTTCCAGTAAATACTCCGCATCGACGGCGGCACCACCAGCTTCTTGTACGTATAAGTGTGCTTCTCCTCCATCATTTTCGCCAGGACCATTTGTATGTTGTCATTTTTGCTGTCGTCCGACGTGCCTGCCTTCGCCGTGCCGTTCGGCAGCGTTTGTTTATGATTACTCTCCATACACACTCGGGCACGATGGACGCGCGTACGCCGGCGTCAACATATACACGTACGTTCAGGACCCCGTCGAGGCATTCGCCGTGGCGATCTCGTGTTTTGCAAAATTTCGAAGGTCAACTGAAAATCCGCGGAAGGGAATCAGGACGACGGGAATCCCACGATGTGTTACCGCGTGGATGCCGCGGGAAGACGCATCGCGGGTCGCGTAGCGCCGATCGCCCCCTTGGCGATGCGAGTGCGGCCGACTCTCTGCTCTGCGTGATGAAACTGATGAACGCACGCGACTCCGATATATATATATCTATTCCTCCCCTCGTGCTCCGTATAGCTTCGTCGTCGGCGTGTGTGTTCGCTGCGCGTTTTCGCGGCTATCGAAGTTCAATTCAATTCCTCGCGTGTGTCGAAAGGCGGGCAGCGATGGCGATCGACTCACCTGCAACGATGCGATATCGACTTTCGTGCCGTTCGTGCGCGAGCGAGAGGAGTATCGTTATCTATAGAACTCGCCTGATCGATTCGAGTATCACCGTAATGGCGGACAAGCGTATACGCCAACACACACGCGCTCGCCCTCGTTGTAACACTCGAGCAACGACGCGCGATCGACTTCCACTTCCTTTGACCACCACCACCACCACCACCAGTCCACCACCACCACGGGTCGAGATGATTCAACGAGAGAGCCAGAGAGGCGACGGCGCACGGCGACAACGAAAACCGTCACTGGCCGTGCTGGCCAATCATAGGTTAGTTCACGTTGTTTGTGATTTTCAAAAATATTTTTGTACTTTAAAACAAAATAAATATATGTATTAAGGCGTTGGAAAGAGAGAAAGCGAAGATTTTTTGAATGCAAAAAACGCAAGTAACACGAACAGACTTTGGGGTGCGTTCGGATTCCCACCCAAGTGACTCAGGGTGCCGTCCCATGGCAAAGATTTTTCACGTAACGCGCGTCTAAGTGAGGTTCGAATCTTCGCTAAGTGGGGTTTGAGTCTCCGCTAAGTGGGGTTTGAATGCACGCGCGCTATAAGTGCAGCGGGAGAATAAATTCAATAAATCTCCGCTAAAATGTGGTTTGAGTCTCTGCTAAGTTGGGTTCGAGTCTTCACTAAGTGGGGTTTGAGTCTCCACTAAATTCATATTCTAACCAGAGGAGCAAACCCCACTTAGCGAAGACTCCACTAGCGATTTCTCGGTGCAGGTGTGTGAGATGAGGAGGTGTACATGCATTGTGCAGGTGCGTCTATCCGGCTCACGATGGGATTTATGCTAAATATCAAATAATACATAACGTATATATTACTCCACTTTGTGAGACAAGAGTCAAATCCCAAGGTAACTGGGCAATATTTCAGTATCCTCCATGAATGGTACACCTATCTAATAATGACAGTCCCTTCGAATAACAAAGCGCCGCGTGAGGCGTAGGTGAGGTTATGTCCTAGATGCATTCAGTTTGTTTATTCGCTAGGTCGAACGAGGCTGACCCTCGCGGAAAAACGACGTCTCACTCGCGAGTGAGACTCGAAAACCCTGTATGTGTCCGTTGCAAGTGACGTTCGAGATCGCCACCGGGATCCGAGATGTGGCCGCGTCTGCCGAGAAGTTTCGCCCTGCTGTCGCTGTTGGTGCTGTGGCGGCTCGTCAACGTGATCCTGGTGCGGACCGTTCACGTGCCGGACGAGTACTGGCAGTCGCTGGAGGTGGCGCATCGTCTGGCGTTCGGTTACGGACACCTCACGTGGGAATGGACGACGATGATTCGTAGCTACGCGTATCCGTTTCTCATATCGATCCTCTACCGGGCGCTCGCCGCGCTCTCCTTGGACTGTGTACCGCTGCTGACGACGCTGCCCCGTGTCTTTCAGGCTGTCCTCGCTGCCTACGGGGATTACGCGTTTTACAAGTGGACCAAGAACAAGTGGATGCTGATCTCGCTGTGCCTGAATTGGTACTGGTACTATTGCGCCACGAGGACGTTGATCAACTCGGTGGAGACTGCCTGTACCATTGTAGCGTTGTCGATGTTCCCGTGGAAAGAGAGTCGCGCGCGAAGCGTAAGATTTTTGTGGATCGTAGGTTTTCTCTGTATGACCAGGCCCACCGCCGCAATCATGTGGCTTCCCCTGTGCTTGTATCACATTCGTATGAGCTCGGAGAAGAAGATATTGCTCGGTCAGTACGTCTTGATATGTTTCACTTGCGCCGCAATTTCCATATCAATAGATTGCTACTGTTACGGAACGTACGTGCTAACCCCATGGAGATTCTTCCAGGTGAACGTGCTCGGGAATGTCGGAAGCACGTACGGCGTGAAACACGCGTTGTGGTACGTCTATTCCGCTTTGCCAGTGCTACTCGGATTGCATCTCTTTCCATTCTTGTTCGCCTGTTACTTGATACTTAGACGTCCCGCTCTTTTCCCTCGGGAATCGATTATGCTGGTGGTAATCGGTTGGACCTTACTCGTCTATTCGTTGCTCTCCCACAAGGAATTTCGATTCATCCTGCCCCTTCTGCCGTTGCTGATATACACGAGCTTCGCTTGTCTCAATCGCTTGAACGCAGGAGTCACGGCGGACGTGCGTAAAAGGCTGATCGCGTTGCTGGTGTGCAGCAACGCCATGACCGGATTGTTCTTCTCCACGATTCACCAACGTGGCACGTTGACGATAATGGAGGTACTGCGGGACGAAGTCACTCATTGTGCGAACATCTCGTTGACCGACACGCTAATACTGACCCCGTGCCACAGCACGCCGTTGTACAGTCATTTGCACGTGAACGTGCCGATAAGATTTCTAACGTGCGAGCCGAATTTGAACAACGTCAAGGACTATGTGGACGAAGCGGATCAGTTTTTCGCAAACGCGACAGGCTGGCTCAACGATAATTACGTTAACAACACGAAAGTTACGTTACCGACTTATGTGATAGCGTTTGATAACGTTGCGAGTGAGATATCTGAATTCTTACGTACGTACAAGTTGATTGCCAAAGTATTTTACACATATTTCCCGGAAAGAAATTACGGAGAAAATATATTGTTATACAAGCGTATATAATATTTATTTTATATAATATATAAAATTTGTATATAATACGATAAATGGAAATGTTTTTAACAAAATGATCATGTTTGATTCAAATCATCATAAACTTGTAAGATTGAAATAATTATTTACGTAATTCTCTTATTTATATAATGAAAAGTTAAATACGTAAAATCTCAGGAAAAACTTAATTTTTACATTTAATATTGAAAAAGTCTTTCATCTTCTCTCAACACATTTCTATTTATTATAGTAAATTTTCATCTGTGCTAAATTCTGCAGGATACAATTTTTTCTTCGTCTTGCGATTCTTCCCTTTCTTATCCATACATTCCGATAAATAGACCCATAATTTTCTACGATTTTCCACTTCAGCTTCTGCGTGGCGAGACAGAGGAATGCGGTGTGGAAAAAGTCAAATATGTTGGCGTTCTCATTATCGATAACAAAAAGCGGCACCTCTCGCTCATCCGGTCATCAATAATGCTTAGGCGATTGTCGTGAAACAGTCATAAACCGAGGGCTCTTCCACGCTAAAAACGAGTCGTAGATCGTCGAGGTGGAGAAGAGGGGAAGGAGAGGTCGATCCCTCCGCTTGGAATAAATGGGTACCGTTAGTAAGTAGGACTCGAATCCCAGACTCTCGATGCGGGAACGATAACGATTCTAACGGTACACTCGTACATCGCACTACAGATGCTCCGAAACGCAATTATCGCTGCGAAGCTGCGCCGCGCGTGTTTTTCTCGAATTTACGTAGATTTTAGCGGCCACGAGTGGCACGGATATTTGTGGAAGGGAATCGAGAGGTTTATCGAAGACTTTATACTGTTATCGCTTTACGCTAAGAAATATAATTAATGTCCTGATTTAACTAACTTTTCATCTTTTTCGAAGAATTAAAAAAAAAAGATAAAAAGTCAGTTAAACCGAGAGTAAATCAATTTACTCCTCGATAGAAATGGACACGAATGAAATTACAATCTCGTTACATTACGATGTATTACGCACTATTAAATCATACGTATTAATACATCCGTCATTTTGAGCATTATGATATATACTTATAAAAAAGATGAGACAAATAATATAATGCCGTAAAAATGCCAAGGACGCTTTATTCAAATCCCATTTCGTAACACATTTCTTTGACGTCGATGTCGCGCGCGAGGATGTCCGAAATTGACAGTTTTGCATTTTTCGACAGGACCGCGGCGGGATCTCTCCGCCGACGACGTCGAGAAACTGGAAACGGTACGACGAAAGGAGAAAAATGAATGGGCGAAGTCGTCACGGCGCGCTCCGGAGTAACGGCGATCGGCGTTAGGCGGTACATAAAAACGGAAAGTAAAATACGCGCGTCGGAAAAGTCGACGAAGGAAAAACAGCACGCAGGAAAGCCCCGCCGCGGGGTGGTGAGCGGAGGGGCAGAGGGGACCGGAGATTCTTTGGAGCGAGATACGTGTACGCGATATCGTCGGAGGCGAGCGCATGGACGACGAGCGGCGGCGAGATGAGGCGCGACGTAGCGTGGCGAGACGAGGCGAGACGTGACGAGCGAGGGGGAAGGTAAGGTAACTCCGCGCGCGTAATCGAAGGTACGGCTACATGGCAAAACCCAGGGGGAAAATGTAAAGGAGAGAGGCGGGCAGGAAGGGGGGAGGGGGAGGGGAGGACTGACTACATGGAGTCAACGTTCCGGCCGGGTCAGCGACCACAAACGTGCTCTCGCTCGCTCGCTCGCTCGCTCTCTCCCGATCGCCTCCTCTCCCTCTCCCGTCTTCGGGCGAGAGCCGCTTCCTCGGCGCCCGACGCCCCGGCGAGGCCGCGCGCTTCCCGGGAAGAGGGCCCCGGCTTCCTCGCGGGATCCACGGCCTCCTCGCGAAAGAGTTCGCTATCTCTCCTTCCCTCTTTCCCTGTTACCAGAAGCGTCCTTGCAGCAGGAAGCCGGATCGAGTCGGCCGACTCGTCCGCCGCAATGCCCGAAACTGATCCGATTCGTTCAGCGCGTGGAATAATATGCACGTTATTTTCTGCTATTGTTTATGTAGATACTATATTGTTTGTACTAATCGAGAACATGGCATACGTTTAATGGTAGATTCAGCAGTCTATTCAATAAGATTGGAAACGCAATGGCTTTCCTTGTTCGCAATGCAATGGTAAGAATTGCATCCCGAATTGATAAACACAAATTAAATTTCAAAGGTTTTTTTTTTAAATTTAAAACAAAATAAAAATTAAAGACATCTGAGATTAATTAAGGGAACAAATAAACATACAATAACATGAATTTCAAATTGTAGTTCTTACGTTAGCATAGCAAAAATTCCGTGTAAAGTCTGAAAATCTTTAAAGCCTTAATTATTTTAATGAGGCGTTTTCGCCAGAATCTTCTATAGCTTAATTTTTAGATGCCTCAGCGAAACCATGATAAAGGAAACGCTGCGCTTATATTCTTACGAAAGTACTGTCGTCTCTACGCAACTTCCTCGTAATTTTAACGGGACGCGCGTGGATGCACTTTTACGGATTACGCACGCGAGAGTCCTCGAGGTCGCGGCGCGCAAGGATCAAGTTGCATGTGCAACGTCGGAAGGAATGCACTGGCAATCCGCGAGAGAGAGAGAGAGACCTGTCCTGTCGTTTCGAAAGTTACGTGGCCAAACACAAGAGCCACGTATACGAGCCGCGTCGGCCCGTCCGGGAGAAAGTTCCCCGCAACGGTGAATCCGCGCGCGCTCGCCGTCCTCTTGCAACGCGCGTAAGAGAATCCCAAAGTGGATCGACCTCGTCGTCCCTTTAAAGCCCGTCAGACTGACGTATTGAAGATTGAGGCTCTATCGCGAATTGAGGATTAGAATTCAATTGATCGGAACGCGAATCGGATTAAGATTATAAAATTATTTCTATAGATTAGAATTATCTTATTGATCAAATTCTCATCTTCCGCGATTCGCGATTCTCAATTTCCAACGCTTAGTCTGGGCGGATTTCACGCTTCGCATCCTGTCTTCTGCCTGTCTTCTGTCTGTCTTCTGCCCATCTCTCCGCGAATCCTGGGAAGGCCAAGAAAGACAATTGAATCGCGGTTACAGTTAATCGAATGAAAGAGAGAGAGAGAGAGACAAATAACCGTTAGATTTTTGTGAATTTTTATGCGGACGGAATTGATATTCCGTTCTTCGGTTCCGATAAACGCGCGGTGAAACCGTTATGGCCGAGAGAACTTCGATTTAGATTCTTGATAAAAAAAAATCCTAGGCTAAATCCCGGAATAAGTCGATCGACTGTGTCCAGACCTCGAGATTCCGGATTCTGAAATGTCATAAAAGTTGCGCGATTTCTCGACGCGAGACATCCCTTTCTCGTTTTTTCCCAATATGCACGTGCGCTCAGATTTGTATGCGAACAAACAAAAAATATCGCGTACTCGTCACTGAACGCGTTAATTAAAATTAATTCTGTAGGGGAGATCTATTTTTTTAATTTTATAGTTTTTCTTTAGATAAAATTTATAATTCATTCTGTTCCAAAATATTGTATTGTTTCATCGTCATTCGTCAATATGGCTTTCCGCGCTAGAAAAGTTAAATTCTATCGATTCTATCGATCGTTAAACAAAGAGTATATCTTCTTATATTCACCAATGCAGATTAACTTTAATCTCGATTTAATTTATCACTCTTTATCTTTTTGTAATATTCTTAGAGCTATTTCAGTAAATAAAAATGGATTGAAATGGATTTGACTCCGTGAAAATGAATGCATTTCTATTCCATAATAGAGCCGTCAATGCTTCCTATTTACAATTTTGAATTGAATAGCATTCATGGTTCATTTTCATAGAGAATGTGCTTTATGCAATTCTTAAATGAACACAAGAATATTGGACATTGAAATGGATGATCCTTTTCAACGTGCGAGGGGGTTTTCAATTCATTTTAATTCATTTTCGTTTACTGGGATAAGATACTGCAAATGAGAAATTTAAATACTAAACCGAGATCAAAGTTAAAATCTATATTGAGAGAAATAAAGAATAGTAAATTAATTGTTTCAGTGATTCTAATTAAAAACGAAACTTTGGAAGGCTTTCGGAAGCTGTACGCAGCACCCGCGAAAACGGAAACGTCCCTGTCGTTCGAATCACTTTGTTCCGCTTCCCGTTCGGTATTGACGACCGATGGAATCTCGTTTTACCACGTGAATCGAACTGTCACACGCAGAAAATATATTGGCGCCGATGAATTAAGAATGATCGACGACAAGAAAGAAGTAGGATCCGCGGAAATATCTGATAAATTTTGAGTGGTGTACAGTGGTGTTGTAACAATCATAACGTTTTGCAATAATGTATTCATATTGATAATATATTCATATCGGTGACGAGTATCGATGGGACAGAGTCCGCGAGAGCGTAAACCGGATCTCCTCGATGCCGGAATCCAGGCAGACTTTGCTCGCTTGGGACTTCAACGCCGCTTTAATTATCATCTCTCAGGGGCGTATTATCCGGGATTGAAATGCGATTGCGTCTGCGGTCCCTGAATTAAAGCCCTGGCTCAGCCTGCAGGCTTATACCAGGCCTACCGGATTGCAATCCCGCCTACGGGACGAAAAGAGAGTCAGCTGAGATCAACGACAAGCGGCATTGTTCTTAAAATATAATCACGAGAAATTTAAACTCGCAGCTTTCTCTAAATTATCAAATAAAGCTCTTTCTCTAGCGAACAATAATGAGCGCTTAAAGAGTCTTTTTTTTCAACGCGCGTCTTTCGTGAGATTTCAAAAGAACTTGAATTTGCGTGTAAAATGCGTGCGCGCAGTTCTCATTCGAGCAAACAGGGGGAATTATTTACGATGTGAGAAACGTCAAAGTAACGACTGTCAATCCTTTCGTTAGTGTCTAAGAAGGAAAATCTGCTAATAATTCGAACGGATAGCCTGCGCTCGCGATTTCAAATTGAACTGCTCTCCCAAGTCGATTTGACGACGAGCGCGAATTTCGGATGTCGTGCGATCTTCGCCGAGAGCTCAATCTTGCGTATCTTATGGCCAAAATATTCCGCGTGAAAAACACCTCTCGTTCGCCTCTCGTGTGCAGGATTCACGTGGCCGCGCGGACAATCATCGGTGCACCCGTTCTTACCTTAACGAGTGCTTAAACGCCGCTGGCACCAATCGGCGACCGACGACAGGCAACAGGTGGCCGCCAATACCGCGCTGTCGACACTCTCTCGTCTAGAAACCGAGCGCTTTGCTCCTCCAGATATTCCTACAGCAAATCCAGCGACAGCTATATTTCTCTCTCTCTTGCTCGTCGGCGAGTGAAAGAGCGTTTGCCTTTTTCTAATAATAGCGGCAATAAAGAGAAACGGGGAGACGTGTCAACTTGTTGATTGTCGCGTCTTCCTCTCTCTCTCTCTCTCTCTCTCCTAAATCAAATGCAACGTGTGCGCAGATGCCTCAATCGCGTGCTATCTCGGCGTGTTTACGTTCAGATTCGTGCACGCGAATCCAGATAAGGGATGAACATAAGGCGTAAGAGCATCGAGAAATGGCCCGTCCTCGTGCGATTATTTCAACACTTGACCGTGCGCACGTATAAGACGAATCGGCGTTCGCCGCGAACACGGGACGATATTTTTATGCGAATGCAATTTAAATATGCATGAATACATGTAATCTGACTGGGTCATCGTCGACTATATGCGTGTTGATATGTACGTATAAAAAGTGCAAATTTATTGCAGCCACATCGTGACATTCTCGCTTTACGCCTTGCGGATTGAGAAACGGCAGGAAACCGGCGAGTGTCGCGGCGGCGTTATGACTCGGCGGAATCGCGGACGTTGCGGTATTTCTGACAAAGTGCTACACGTCTCTCTCTCTCTCTCTCTCTCTCTCGTTTCATCGTTTGCTGAAGAGCGACGAGACAGCGATCGTTAAGTCACGCGCGAAGAAGGATCGATGATCAATGATCGCGTCGGATGATCCGATCCGACGAGCGCCGAAAAAAGAAAAAAGGGGGAAAAAAACCGGAAAGATCGGCGAGACATAGAAAGACGAACGTATATAGCCGATTTACCGCGGTCGACGCGGTT